CGGCGCCGCGCCATTGCGCTGATACCGAGAGCTGAGTTACTGGTGTCGATACCGATTTTCACAACTCTGTGACGCAATGGCGCCAGCAACACCGGAACACTAACAACACCAGGCGGTGCAAAGAACCAGCAAAGAACACACAAAAGCGAAGTGTCACTTGTAAAATGTGCAGCACAAGGCGAATTTTTACAAGGTGGTGTTGCTAAAATTAGTGGCGGTCCTTCTGAATGTGAAAAAATATGTGTTTGTTGTATTTTTGTGTTTTGAACTTGGCTTGTTTTTGCCCAACCGATACCACCTTGTATTAATTCACCTTAGTTCAACACCGGAACACTGACAACACCGGGTGTCGCAAAGAACCAGCAAAGAACACTCGAAATAGAAGTATCTCTTGTAAAATGTGCAGCACAGCTAGAATTCGTCGCGGTCCTTCTGACTGTGAAAATGATGGGTTTGTTGTATTTTTGGGTTTTGAACTTGGGTATACTTGATGTAGCGTATTTATTTATAGAATTGTATTTTTTTTTTAAAATTTTATTTTTATATAAACTTAATTTTAATTTAACGTATATTAAATTTCAAAGAAGAAAAAATTCTGAAGTAATCAAAAATTTTCTTTTTGATTTACATAAATTGAAAAAGAACTTAATTCAATAATTTCAAAAATAACAAAGTACAAAAATGAACAAAGTACAATAGTAAATAGTATTAACACTACAATACTCCCCCTTCCAGAGAGTTATTATTATACAAATTGAAAGTAACTTGTTTCTTTTTAGTCGTTGTTGAAACTATATGGTTGTGAGTGTTATGTGGTTCTGTTATTTCAACTATTGCTGGCTTTAGTCTGTCAATCGAAATAATTTTAATTTCATTATTCACATCTACCTTAAAATATTTTTTGTCTTTTTCAATAACTCTGTAAGGCCCTTCATAAGGATGTTGAAGAGAATGCTTGTTAACAATGCAAATAAAAACAAATTTGCAAGTTTGTAAATCTTTTGGAACATAAATTCCTGAATCGGAATTTTTGTGATGTTTTAAATTTGAATTAAAGTTTTTAAAACGTTCCCGTAAACTTCCTAAAATTTCGGCGGAAGTAACATTTTCTGTAGTTGGCACAACAAGTTCTCCAGGTAGACGCAAATTTTGGCCAAAAAGCATTTCAGCTGGAGTGGCTGCAATATCTTCTTTGTACACTGAACGCAAACCAAGAAGAATAATCGGTAGCTCATCGTACCAATCTCTAGTTCCATTCCTAGCCAAAATTGAAGTTTTCAATTGTCTATGGAATCGTTCCACAATACCATTACTTTGAGGATGATAGGAAGAAGTTGTGATATGATGACTACCAAGTAATTTAGTAAGTTCCGAAAATAATTTGGACGTAAATTGAGTACCCTGATCCGTCGTGATTTCTAAAGGCACACCGAAACGCGAAACATATTCATTAAAAAAATTATTTGCAACTGTCTGTGCAGAGATATCCTTTACAGCATATGCTTCCGGCCAACGAGTAAATCTATCCGTAATTGTTAAAATGTAGCGGTAACCTGTTGAAACAGGAAGCGGTCCAACAATATCTAAATGTATATGTTCAAATCTGTTCTTCGGAATTGGAATTGTGCTCACAGGAGATTTTGTGTGACGATAAACTTTAGATTTCTGGCAACTTATACATCCTTTTGACCATATGTTTATCTCCTTGTTCATACAAGGCCAATAATACTTCTTCACAATTAATCGGCGTGTAGCCTTGGTACCAGGATGAGCAATTCCATGTAACATATCGAACACTGTCCTGCGCAAATTATTTGGAACGAAAGGTCTAGGACTTTCTCCTGACACTTCACACCAAATATTAAAATTTAGAATAGGAATTTTAATTAAATTAAGATTTTGAAACGTTTGTCCAGAAATAAGTTTATTAAGTTCACTGTCCTGTTGCTGTTCACTCTGTAAAATTTTGAAATTAAGTTCTGAATTTTTAATCACATCTATTTCAAACGCACGAGATAACGTGTCAGCTACAATGTTGGTCTGTCCTTTAATATACTGTATGTCACTAGTAAACTGTGCAATAAATTCAGTATGCCTTGTCTGTCTTGGACTACGCTCAGTTTTGGAATTTAGAACAAAAATCAAGGGTTTGTGGTCAGTAAAAACCGTAAACTGTCTTCCTTCTAATAAATACCGAAAATGTTTAATATTCAAATAAATTGCTAAAAGTTCCTTGTCAAAAGCACTATATTTCATTTCTGCTGGAGAGAGTTTCTTTGAAAAGAACGCAAGTGGTTCAGACTTATTATTGAAATGCTGCTGTATGACACCACCAATTGCTGTATTGGATGCATCTACCGTTAAAGACAATTTTGCATCTTTACTAAAATGATTTAGCAAAATCTTAGATGCAAACTTCTCTTTAATGCATTCAAAAGCTTTAATGGATTTGTCATCCCAAACCAAAATTTTGTCTCGCTTTTTACTTGTTTTATTAATTAAATCATATATAACTCCAGTAAACTCAGCTAATTTTGAAATATATCTATGGTAATAGTTAACCATACCAATAAACTTTTGCGCTTGTTTTATTGACTTCGGTTGTTCAAAATTGCGAATCGCTTCTACTCTGCTTACAGAAGGCTGTATCCCTGCCTCAGATAAACAATGTCCTAAAAAATCTATACTTGGAACACCAAAAATGCATTTGCTTGGTTTGACGTTCAAACCATACTCAGACAAACGTTCGAAAAGTACCCGTAGATCCTTTAAATGTTGTTCTTCACTCTCACTTGCAACCAGTAGATCATCAATATACGCGAAAGCAAAAATCTAATTTACCTACTACTTCGTTGATGAATCTCTGAAACGTTTGCGCTGAGTTCCTCAGCCCGAAAGGCATTCGGGTGAACTCAAACATACCGAAAGGAGTAGTAATCGCCGTTTTAAAAATGTCTTCTTCTGCTATTGGAATTTGGTGATACGCTCTAACTAAATCTAACTTTGAAAATATATTTTTATTCCTAAGGTTCATATTAAAATCGTGAATATGAGGCAAAGGATAACGATCCGGTATAGTCACATTATTAAGTCTTCTAAAATCACCACAAGGACGCCAGTCATTAACTTCTTTCTTTGGTACTAAATGAAGTGGAGATGCCACGGATGAATTTGATGGTCTACAAATCCCTGTTTTTACCAAAAAATCTAATTCAGTTTTAGCTACTTTAAATTTGATAGGATCTAAGCGCCTTGGCTTAGAAAAAGGAAGGTTTCCTTCAGTGACAAGTCTGTGAACCGTTGTATGCTTAACCGGTTTTGAGTAATCTGGCTCAGAAATAAGGGAAGGAAATTCCTTCAATAATTTTGTATATTGATCATCTACTGAAAAAATTTTTGGAAGAGGGACATTGCAAAAGTACGAAATTGTATTAACTGATAGATTTGTTAACGGATCTACTAAACACTTGTTTTTAATATCAATAACAAGTCCATATTTACACAAAAAATCAGCTCCTATAATCGGCTTCGCAATATAAGCAATCAAAAATGTAAAAAGGAACTCACGCCTTAAACCCAAATTAATATTCAAAAGTTTCTTCCCGTATGTAAAAATAGTTGAGCCGTTAGCTGCCGTTAAAATTATATCTGAAGATTTCCTAGTATTCGAAAATTTAGAAACTGGAAGTACCGAAATTTCTGCTCCGCTATCAATTAAAAAATTTAGTTTGTTTGTTTTATCAAATATAAAAAGGCGACGTGTGGAAATGTCCAAATTCCCGTTGTTTGTCGCCGCAACAACGGACGACTTTAGTTTGTTGGACTATTATTTTTCGAAAATGCACATGGTTGTTCACATTTTTTAGCCTTGTTTCCAAATTTATAATGATATCTACATAACCAATTCGGATTGTCGCGTGATTTTGATCGATATCTAAAAGGGCTCCTAAAACGATTCCTATTCACTGAACGTGACCTTGAATAATTTTGATTGATTTCCCTCCTCATTTCACATAATTCCAAAGAAAGTTTTTCAAAATTTTTAAAAATAAGAGAAGTAGTGTTAACCAAATTAGCCATGACTGCATTTTCACCTTTTGAATTTTGAAAATCATTAACTGAAGGTATCTCGCTTTTGCTAATAACCTCCCAAACATTATCAGCCAATTTCGTCAATTCACTAATACTGCTTGAATTAGAACTAGCTAAAATCACGCTTAGGTTCTTCGGTAACTTCCTCATCCAAAGTTTCTTAAGAATTTCTTGACTAAAATTGGAACCCGAAAGCAGTACAAGAGACCGATAAAATTCTGAGGGCTTACGATCACCCATTTCAGTATCCGATAAAATTTTGTCTAATTTCACATTCTCACTTAATGAATGTCTTTCAATTAAAATTTTCTTAAGTGAGGTAAATTTATTATTTTCGGGCGGATTTTGAATAAAGTCTAAAATCGTTATTATAACTTCTTGCGGAAGTGCAGTTATTGTATGTTCATACTTTGTTGTTTCTTGTGTAATATTTTTGGTACTAAACTGCATTTCCGCATGAATAAACCACGCTTCCGGACAACTTGTCCAGAATTGTGGTAGTTTGACCGATGTAGCACAAATCTCATTACTATTTCGATCGACATACGGATTTGTTAACTGTTCATTAAACGTACTATTTTGTAAATCAATAAGAGTTTCATTTAAATTATCTCGTGTAGATGTATGTGTATCATGTTGTGGTGAACGAAACATTTTGATTATTTGAATTTGAGCAAATATCAAAAGACCTCAGAAAAGGGAAGTTTACAATTAAAAAATTAAATATTATATATGTAATATTTAATAAATAACAATTAAACTCTGTATTTAATTATTTTCAACAAAACTAGCGCTAAAGTTATACAATACAGCTCACCAGTAAAACAAAGATTGTTGTTGATGTTAGGGCTACTGCTGCGGTCGCTGCTGATGCCGCTACTGCTGCGGGTGACTTCGATGCTCTAGCCTCGTTGCCTGTGTCCGCTTCTTCGTTTTCTTCTTCCTGCAGCAGCAATGGCAGTGATGTTGGAGGTGTTTTGTTTCGTTCTGTTAATGCGCTACTATCAGCTGGAACTTCTCCTATTACGCTCAAAGAGGAGCATTGAGCACCGCTCAAACTTTCCGGTTGCTGTTCTTGATCTTGAGAACGCTGCTGCTGCTGCTGGTTATGTGGTTGTTGTTGACTGGTTGATGCAATATCAGCACTTAAAATAGCTTCTCCAGTGACTGCTTCTAATGCAGATGCATCAATGATATTGGCAATTGTGCTAGTGTCGTTGAACGCACATTGGTGCGTTTGAAGCTGTTGCTGTTGTTGCTCTACTAATTGTGATTGCTGATTTTCAACAAAAGGCAATGGGGATATTGCTTTCTGATATTGCGGCTGCTGTGATTCAAGTGGTGGTGATATCGGTGGTGGTAGTAGTGCGTGTTGGAATATGCCAGCTGCTCGCAATGGTGCCACTCTTTTTCACTGCTGACTATTGCGACGCATTGCACTTCAACATTTTGGTGTAACATCTCATCATCTGTGGACTAGTACCGCGGAGCAACAAACCAAGTGTACAAAATCAATATATCAGCTTAATGTAATTTCTTATATTGCTCCTGGCAGGATCGCCAATTGTAGCGTATTTATTTATAGAATTGTATTTTTTTTTTAATTTTATTTTTATATAAACTTAATTTTAATTTAACGTATATTAAATTTCAAAGAAGAAAAAATTCTGAAGTAATCAAAAATTTTCTTTTTGATTTACATAAATTGAAAAAGAACTTAATTCAATAATTTCAAAAATAACAAAGTACAAAAATGAACAAAGTACAATAGTAAATAGTATTAACACTACACTTGAGTTTTTTCTCAACCGATATCACCTTGTAATAATTCACTTTGGTGCAGCGTGCAGCAATAAAGGAAATGAGCTTTAGCCTGAAGAGGCGAATTGCGCCAACACACTGTGCTGATTCCGACAGAGGCGCTGGAGTTAGTGTGTCAGGGCCAAAAAATTTGCGCCATTACCCAGGCCTACATCTTATATATTATTTCTTTAAGGCGCTTTTTTTGTTAGTCTTCCTTTTTCTACTTTTCTATGTAAGCAATTCCACTAATGAGGTGTCATTTGAAAAGTCAGAGGTCCCCTGAGTGGTTATTAGGTAATATTAATGGTCATAACACATCCGAAGACAAGTAATTTGTAATTTTATTTTTGTTTTTAATTTACCATTGATAAGCCACACTAAAGGTATTTTGTACTGAAGCACTACTGTGACTGCA